ATCGACCGCTTTTTTTTTTCCATTTATTTCAGACAACAAGCCCTGAAAAATGAAGTTTTTCAAGTGAGTGGTGCTTGTTCATGGTTTTAATATAAAAACCCCTTTCCCCCTAATCGTTAATCAATTTTGAGAGTCGACTGGTGCTTGTTCATGAGTTCCCTTTTTTTAAACTAACCTTGTCAATGGGTTGTTTCTGTTCTACAGCTCAAATTATTGCCACTTTATTTTTTTTAAAATAAGAATAATGATAATAATTTTGCATTTTCTGCGAGACGTGTTGGGATTGCAGAAACTCGATCTAACTAAATGTGTCCATAAGGACTATTTTTACACACTGAGTTAATTATGAACTTTTGTAGACATTATTTCTCGTAGTAACTTAATTAGATTTTGTACAAAATTATAATCCTTTTTTCCCTTCATCCTTAATCATGTTCTGTCGCCTAGAGCATTTGATTGCAGTTTATTTAGTGATAATATCCAAAGCATGGTTCTAATTTCTATCAGTGTTGAATGATAGGGAGTGGACTTTTGTGCCATAAATAAAGATGTTGAGGCTCTGCAGACTTTTGTACACATGGGATGAATAGAGAATCACAGGGATGCTAATGTATTATCATGTATGTATTCATTTTGGAAATGGCTTACAATTTCACTCTCAATGTGATTATTATTTGCTAGTTAAATATAAAACTTGTATATGGTGTCATAACAGTTCACTGTGGCATTTGTAATTTTGGAACATAACTTAGTGTATATTATTTTAACTAATTAAGACAATCCTTTGGGTTGGGTATCTTTTTGTAATCATCCTACTATATAAAAATTCTATTGAGCTTAAATGTTATATTTTTGTTCAACAGGCAGCCCACAAACCCGTTTATCCATCTTCAAAACTTAAGAGTGCAAACTGGGACAAATGGAAGCTCAAGTAAAAAGAATGTGTGTTACAAGTTTTTATGTCTACGTATTATGCCTCTTTAGTCATTAATAGCACAAGCCTTGATTTTTTATTTGATGTGTCCTTCGTGTACTAGGAAAAGGAAGAGAGGCTAGATGGTGTTGCAGTTCTGAATAAGTTCTTTAAAGACATACAAACATGCAGATGAGGACACTAGGCGAGCCACAAGCAAATCTTTTGTAAGAACTGAAATCCCTGTTTCTATCTGATATTATATATTGGGAGGGAAATCTTGGTATCTTGTTGGGTCCTCTGTGACATTAACAAGAACTACTGCCGAAATTTGAGTGCATCAGTTATTATATGTTGGAAGAAACTCTTGTGATCTTGTTGGGGGTCTTTTGTGATGTTTACAAGAATTGTTGTTGATGTTTGAGAGAGATGGTGAAAGTCTGAGGCATGATTAAAAATCATAGAAATATCCTTGTGCTTTTGTCATCTTGATTTTAAAGGGATTGTATTGCATACATATCTAGAGGTGTGCGAAAGGCTTGTATTTAGAAGTGGTAAAATTGGAATAAATAATACGATGACAAAGTTTTGTCTTTTTTATTTTTTTAAATTATTTTTTATATTTAAGTTTCAATACAACTCTTAAGTCTTTAGTTCTTGTAATTATTCATAAATTTCGTAAGTCATTAAAAAATCAGATATAGGCTTAAATTCACTACTGGTGGTATACGAGCGGAGAATGATGACTAATGGCGGTGGACGTCAGCGGCAAGTGGCAACGAGATGGTTGAATTTTTAATTTATCAATTGTAATACGTTGTTAATTTATTTATCCTATTTTCTTAATAATATTTATTATATACATGTGCTAGAATTTAAATACAATATAATTATATAAGAAGACAAAATAAATTATAATTTAAATTAAAGTAAGAATATAATAGGTATTTCCTAGATGAGGAGAAAATATCAATATTTGTTGATCATTCAACTTCAAGTTATCCATCAACTCGAGTCTCGACTCTCAAGTTTCTTACACGAGTAATTAAAGAGTGAAAAGAAACATGATGCATTTTAAGACAAGAAACAACCAAACAATTACTATCTTAAATAAAATGACAAGATAAAAAGCAAAATGTGAGGTAATAGTGTGACAATTTTATATGGCCTTAATAAGTAATTTGGTGGACTTCTACGAGTAAAAAGGACATTTCCCATGTTAATTTTTGGACAAAATGGTCATTTATAAGGTGGGATTAAATTGTCTCACACTCAAGATCGGATAAATAATCTTGTCAATAATGCATAAAAAGTGTGGGGCACGACACATCAACTTATTATCCAATCTCTATCATGATTAGTAAATGTTGGATAATGAGAGTTATCAAACTATATCTTATCCTATCAGCTTAATGGAGTGTATTCAATTAGATAATCTATTTTTTCTTATAAGAATTCTCTTCAACTCACAATTAGTTGAAAGGACTTTTGAGAACTTTTGAAATCCTGGTGTATTTAATTTAAATTTGTTAAAACTTTTAAAAGTCTTATGTATTTAATTGAGATTTTAAAAAGGCTTACAAAATCCCGAGATAATTAACTTATTTGATAATAGAATTTGTTAAGAATCGGTATAATTTCTATAGATAAAACCTTATATAATCTCACTTTAAATCCCACATTCCGACTTTAACTTTCACATAATTCTTCCAAAAATCTGAAAATTTTAAAACGTCTCATATCTTACAAAATATTAAAATGTCACTTAAAATACAAATTGAATACACCAAGTAAACGAGTCCTCAATATTTGTGTGCACTATAAATATTGGTCGTGGTTATTAATGTGTTGTGCAAATTATAAATTCAGGGTTACATTACACATTTGACACGTTAAATAGCTTAATTTCATTATTTGGTCCTTTTGAATATAGATAGCTAACAAAAAATCAAAACTGTGTAGAAACAAGTTGGTTATTTACTGAACAATTCAGATAGTTTAATTACATAGTATATCATTATTATCAGTTATTTGCTGAACACTTTCACAGATATTAAGAGCATGCTTGGATACAAAATTATCTCAAAAAAATCCAAACATTTTTAACTCAACCACTTTTTTAACTCAACTTTAACTCAACCTCACTATCATCAATATTATCAATATAATTAAATAATATTAAATCAATCATTCTTACACACCACATCACCTTAATTCACTATTCATCTACTCACATAATTTTAACTAACCATCATTTCAAATCTCTTTTCTCTTACTTTACATCAAATCAACTTTAATCACTTAATTTTAAATATTATTTTAATATATCTACTAACAACTAATCATACCATCTTTTTCAAAACTAACCAAACCAAACAAAAAATTCCAAACAAAACTTGATAATTTGATCAAATATATTTGCACTTTTTTTTTCCATTACAAGCGATTATTTCAAATATTTCGAGTATGGAATGGATAGATTCTATATATAATAATTAATTCATCTTTCGAATTTCGACTAATATAAATTAAAATCTTAATTTGATATAATATATCTTTAAGCCTCTAGCTCAAAATGATAGAGTTTTATTAATAATTTATATATATATTAACTAATAAATATCAAATAATATAAAATTGTTTATTTATATTTTGGTGCATGAGTGCATCCAACTCCAACTCCAAGATATTCATTATTCAACATGCTGAGCTACAAAATTGAGCTTAAAAAAAATAATCGGTGGCCTTTTTTTTTTTCCCCTTGGGTTTCATAAGTGAGAAGACATGTTCACAGGCCGAACTGACTTGTGAACCGATCTCGGCCCTGCCCTGAACCGACTTCCTAAAGACCGGTTTGTTGAACCGGACACTTAGGGTCGCGGTTCGGTCCCGATTCATTTTTTTTTTTTCGTCCTGTCGGGCCACGGGACGATGGGCCACATTGTTTTTTCTAAAGAGTCGTACCGGTCCGAAACCGTCTGAAACCCGCTAAGTCGGTGATTCGACAGTTCAGGGTCGATTCTGTGAACGGGCCCATATAAATGGGCAGGCCGGTCACGAGCCATGAAATTGAGGCCGCCAACCCGGCGGCCCGGGCCAGGCCGGGCCGCGGCCCGGCAATTTGCCAGGTCTAAGTGAGAGAACACACACAACAAATACACGTTCTTTAAAATTTATAAAGGCATATCGATTTTCGATCGCGTCCAATTTTTGGCTCGTTCACGCAGCAAAAGGCACTCTCCTTTTCTCTCTCTCTCTCTCTAAAGTTCGAGAATCTGAGATCGAGATCGAAACGATGCCGTCGCGTAGAAGAGCTCTTCTCAAGGTCATCATCCTCGGCGATAGTGGGTGAGTATTTCCTGTATTTTGACGAATTTGTTTTCGCATGATTTGTTTTATTTATTTATTTATTTTGCGTAAATTTGTGCGGCGTGGTTGTGTGTGTAGTAGGTTTAGATTCAGGATTTTTTTTTTTATTTTTTATTTTTCATATCGTTATCGTGGATGATTAGTTTCAAGGTTTATGGAACAATTTATTCATGGAATTTAGTTCGTTTTTCTTTTGTTTGATTTTCTATTTTAAACATGATTGGGGACACCTTTCGATTGCAGAGTTCGAAACTATGTATGAGATTTATGAGTTGTTTGTTCAGTGGTAATTTGATTTCTTGAATGGTAGAGACAGGCCGATGTCTGATTCGACTAGTGTATTGTGCACTTGTGTTTTGAGCACTTATATTCACTAGTGCATGAGTGTAAGAAATAGAATCATAATACTGCACAATGCATAAGTAGAGATTCTTCGTGTATGCGTTCTGCAGATTGTTGTGTGGTGATTTTGCTTTTGTTTGCGATTTGCAGGGTGGGGAAGACCTCACTGATGAACCAGTATCCTTTAGAAGTAATGAACTTATTTGTGAAGTTACTATTTTGTTTGTCGCGAATCCGTATTGTGAAAATAGGTTTTACTTAGTAGTTGGATGTTGTCCTTCACCTGTCACTTAAAGATATGTGAATAAGAAGTTTAGCAATCAATACAAGGCTACAATTGGGGCTGATTTCCTGACAAAGGAAGTGCAGTTTGAGGACCGCCTCTTCACTTTACAGGTTAGGCAAACATCTTTTGTTCATCTATGATTAAACATGACACTTGTTACCTTTTAAGTCAGTGTTAATACACACAAAAGGTAGAGATAAAATGGTTAGAGAAATTGGATTGTTAGCTTTAAAGCGGTTTTTAGTAGAGAAACAATGTATCATCATGGTCAAGTTGAGATGATGATATGGTGTTGGGTTTTGGTTTTCCGAATAGCTTTCTTAATATATTCTTATTGCTAGTTGCTATGAACCGTGTGCTATTTATGGTGGTTATCTTTTGACTGTGCCCTTTGGTATTTATGTTTCTATATCCCTTGAACTTGGATTATGTGAGCTTTATCTGCCCTAAGCTTGAGTGCTTGTTCAATTAGATATGGGACACTGCTGGTCAAGAAAGATTTCAAAGCCTTGGGGTTGCCTTTTACCGGGGTGCTGATTGCTGTGTGCTTGTTTATGATGTCAATGTGATGAAATCATTCGACAATCTAAACAATTGGAGAGAAGAATTCTTGATTCAGGTATTTTATTTTATTTTTTTTTATTTTATATCACTGTGTTCGTTATATCTGACAATATAAACATGAGATTTGCACCTTCTATGCTGCTTCGATTGGCTGTTGATATCATATATTGTGCTTATTTTTCGTACTACGGATAAGAAGTATCAGCCTCAATGACTTCCCACGAGGGAAAACGAGGATGCTTTGTTACATGAACAGGGACCAAGCATGCAGGGTCCTTTCATAATATTGTATGGGTGGGTTCTTTCATGCGTGTTCGTTGTCCCCTTCCCTCTTCTTATTTCAAGCCCTGAATTTTTCCCTTGCTTAATTTCTGTCTCTTTTGTTGCAAATTAACTAGTTACAGTAACTTTGTCATTTACAAGAAAGAAAGCATTATCTTGTTATGTATTTCTTATCATTTGATGAGATGAAAAAAATATTTAAAAAAAAATAAAAATCTTAGAGCAGAATTTCATTGCAGGCAAGCCCATCAGATCCAGAAAACTTCCCATTTGTTGTGATTGGTAACAAGACTGATGTTGATGGTGGAAACAGTAGAGTGGTAATTTTCTAACTCTGCTTATATCTTGTTATTCTTTATGTTTTTATTTCCTTGGTCCGGGAGCTCCCCTGACTATTATCATTCTCTACATATGAACTTGTAATATTATATACGTGTTCAAAATTTTATCCACACAATCCAAGTTAAGGGGCGTTCACATGTCATTTTTCCTCTTGAGTTCAGATGTCACTTTTTCCTCAAAGTTCATGTGCGAAATTGCAATTTTCCTAGAATTCTCTGTTTGCATGTGAACTACCTTCTCTGTCTTCCTCATATCGATAGGGTCGAGCGGGTTCCTTTTTTTGTTTCTATCTTGAGCATGTCGTTTATAAGGGTTTTGTTTATACCATCTCAGGTATCTGAGAAAAAAGCTCGGGCATGGTGTGCCTCAAAAGGGAATATTCCCTATTTCGAGACTTCTGCAAAAGAAGGCACAAATGTTGAAGAGGCTTTCCAGGTCATTGCTAAGAATGCTCTCAAAAGTGGAGAAGAAGAAGAAATGTGAGCACACAAAAACTCATCTCATCCCTTGTGTTTGTTGTTTTCTGATTAATTGCAGTAATTTATAATGTAATCAGTTTATTTTGTTCTTTCATCGTTGTTTCATTTGTTACAACAATATCTTATGGGAAAATTGTTTGTAGTTTAGAGCTCAAGAAAATCCCAACCGCTGAGAATTCCAAATGATTGTTGATGTATTTATTTTTGCTAACATTAATTCTGTTGGTTAAGATACTTGCCGGACACAATCGATGTTGCAAGCAGCAGTCAACAAAGGTCAACCGGTTGCGAATGTTGAAATTGGGGTTCTCCTTCTCCACAATGTAAAAGACCTCATGGGAAGTGCAAGAACAAAATCTATCATCTTTGTGTCGTTTTGTGTTGTCTTAGCTGTACACTATTGGTTCCTATTGTAGAGTGAAATTCATCTTGTGGAGATTCGTTTGCTTTATTTAATTCGCCAGGCTCATATTGTCGATTATTAAGACTGTTCATTATGTAAGACTTTCAAATGTTGGTTTCAAGTTCTTTCCTTTGAACACACTGTTTGTTTGTTGTAACTGTTATCCATATCTCTTTCCTTTGAGAACATGCTATTGTTGAATATGTTGTGAATTTTTTTTTCTCTTCATTCAATTTGATGAAGATAATTTTACTATTACACACGTATTATTCATTCATAAAATGGAACATAAATTGGAACACAAGTCTAGAAGAGTAAATGTTTTCATGGAGGCAAAGTCTTCACTAGTTAATTTGAGGCACACCATCAAAAAGGGGGGAAAAAACACTTGCATTGCAGTCACTGAAGTTGTTAAGTAGCATATACAATGGGATTTTGGAGCATAAGGAACGTTCATAATCGGGAGTGTCGAGCTCAAAATTCTCCTCAAGCTCCCCTATATGCAATGCAAGCAATAACTCGATAATAGTTAACAATTTGATATCTTGAGCTCGAGTGGGGCCAAAGCCAAAATCCACGTAACTGCCACTCGCCGGCGACCTGACAAATTCATAGTCGAAATTCAGTTTACCAATTTACAGAAAGAAGAAAGCCAATCCCTCAAAATAATATCTATTTCAGTGAAAAATATTGATATGCATAAGTGAACAAAAACATATGCAAGGCATATTATCAATCAACTTCTTTTTTTTCTCTTTCTTTTGTCGTGCACTTGCTCCTATCGCAAAACCTTTCCCATCCAATGAACGGACACTTAACAAACGATGTCTCTATTTTACGGATCCAGCTTCGTGTATCATGAAGAATTCCGATCAAGTCAATGGCAACAGAACCAAATGTAATTTTACTTGCTATATTAATTCAAATTTTTCACAAGCACTCGTAACTTAAAAAGGAGAAAAAAAAAAAAAAATTAAAATAAAGGAAATAAAGGTCAGACAGTCTACTCACTTGGCAGACGATAGCTGACTTATCACACACAGGAAAAGTACTCACTTTTCCCCAAAATAAGTTAACCAGAAATTATTTCATCCCAACTGAAGAAAGCCCATCTGCATTAGGCTGCATCGTACTTCCAGTTTCACTCCCTGTCATAGTCACACTCGAGCCAGGATTCACTGGCACCATCGGTCTCGAAATAGGAGGCCTGAGAACATTCATGCCCATAAAGGGCCTTGTTGTGTTGGGAAAATTAACTGCTGCCTTATTGGGAAGTAAAGCCTGTGAGTTGGGTGGACGGGCCGAAGCTTGCATCCCAAATCGGGTCGCAATTATTTGGGCCCGCTCGTGGAAAAGCTTCTGCTTCGACCTCTCTAATAGATCCTTGACCCGCATCACAATGTTTTCCATGTCGTTAAAGAAAGCCAACTTGGACTCCAGCTTGTACAGCTGCAAAAGCTCAATATTATTAAAAAAAAATAAAAAAAAAAATAAAATAAAATAAAAAAAATTGACACGTATTCAATTGACAAAGGATCCTTTAAGCATAAAGTATGCTTCCTGGTCTACAGGACATGAGTAGATTGAGTGAAGCTAGCAAAACCACCTGTTTTTCAATTAGAAATGTGGACAGCTGAAGAATTTGATCTTCTTCTTGGTCTGCAAGAAACTTCGCTTTGATTGCAGCAGCTGAAATGGCTGTCAGTGCAGCTCGGCTTAACTTGTCATTGACATCAAGGCCATTCTTCGGTGTTATTGGCTCTTTCTTTTCAATAGCATCTTCCTTGCCTTCTCCTTCACCTGCTTATACAACAATTAGACAAAATCAGATTTTTCAGTCGAGTTCGAATAACAAGCCCTATTGATACTTCTAATGCTTCTAAAGGTTACAACACATACTCAAGGCAAACAACCCAGATCGGTATATTCATTCAGCAGTACATATTCTGCTCCATGGATATGATATTATAAATAAACTAATAAAGAACACTAAACTCCCTCCAACTGTTTTCGTAGTTTACAGAAATGTATGCCTACTCGTTCCAGCTTGCAAGTTCAAATGATTGAAACAAGCTGAAAGCAAAATCTGAATCAATACCTGTATTTTCTTTGTCAGCTATTGAATTTGATATCACCATTAAATCAGCTTCTTTCTTTTCAGGAAGGGATGTCAAATCCATGTCTTTCAAAGGATCTTTAGACTGAGTTGCCTCCCGGGCTGACTCTCCATCTTTTGATTCCTTCATAGTAGACGATTGAAGCTCAGTATCCACACTGGATTTCTCAGTATCTTTTGAAGCCTCTTCCTTTGGTAAAGCAGAGCTACTCGGCTGACTCTCAGATGTCGGCTGGGCTTCCTCAGGGCTCGCCAACTTATCAGGATCCTTAGAACCCTCAGCTTTCTGTTGATCACTAGGAGAAGCTTCAGTTTTCTGGTCCTTAGAAGCAGAATCCTTGTTCTCGTGTTCTTCAGGTGCAGAAGATTCCTTATTATTATTATTATTATTATTATCATTTTCATCATCACGTACACTGTGGGAATTTGAATCAGCCGTTTCCTTCTGTGACTCAGTATTCTGAACGGCATCCTTCTGAGCTTCAAGATCGGTTGTCTCAGTCTCGGCTCTAAGAAACATCAGGAAGAGGAAACATAGATACAGTGACGAAAGTAATAACAAAGAACTGAAGAAGCAAAACAAAAATACACAAACCCTTCTGTGTTGCCAAGATTCTTCTTATATTCTGGTGGATCTTCCAAAAGGAAACAGTGCCTTGCAGCAAGCTGCTCGCTGGAGTGTTTTTTAGATAAAGATTTCAAGAGGTTACGAACAGATGCGATGGCAATATTTGGATCCACCAGCCGTACCAAGAATGCTGCCTATAAGAGAACAATTATCAAGTTATTTGCAAACAGAAACAAGATGTACAATTTTCACACCCAGAAATGGACTGGAAAAGAAATTCTGGGATAAGCTACTTATCGTGGGAGTAAAGATTAAAGAATGAGCAAAAAATATTAACGTACCAATGTCATCACAGGATTACCAGCTTCAACAAATGACATTTTTTCCCCAGGTGAAGGAAGAGAGCCCACAGCTTCAAAAGCTTCCTTGAGAGCCTTTAGTGCAAAATTTTCCCCAGCGTCATTTTTTGCATCTGATTCTCCAGTCTCATCTGGCTTTGAGATTTCCATTGGACAGGATGAGTCTTGATTATCAGTATTACTTCTTCCCTGGATTTCTGTATTCTCAGGGACATCCTTAGGCGCAGTATCATGGTCTTGGTCAGCTTTAGGAACTGAGTTTTCAGAGTTGGTAGATACAGGCAGTCTGTTTTCTTTAGGAGCATCGCTATCTTCATCATTGTGATTGAAAAACGCATCCTCAATAGGCATTTGAACAAAGTGCAATATACACTGAGCTCTTGTCTTTGTCGCTACATGCTCGGCAATCTCACTCCAGTTATCACGAAATAATTCTATTGCTTCAAGGAGTAGAAGAGTTTCTTGATCTGTCCATTTCCCTCCACTTGCACCACCAGCTTCAGCAGGTTCCATAAGAATGAAATCCGATGGGGACATGTGTGATCCAAACTTACCATTGTTGAAACAATCCGCGCATAGATCGAAATCAGCCTGTTTGCAAATGTTGTTCAGCAAACAGAAAATTCCATGGAATATATAGTTATGTGCAATTAAACAGAGTAAGGTTACATGTATAATACATATTATAAGTGAGTCAAAGATACTGGATGATATGGATTCCTCCAGAGCAGTATTAAATGCTAATTATCACATAGGATGTGAGGGTATACAAACTCGTACTGTTGAAAGAATTTGGTAATTAGATTATGCAACCACAAGACCCGAAATCTTAATTCTACTAAAAACAGTGCTGACTATGCCGCCGAATGATGCATAAATTATATTATTCTTAGATTATTAAGAATACTTGTGCTAACAACAAGCGTTCAAAGAGCACAAAATAAGGATTTCCCAATGTTTTTTATGACGATGAATTGAATTGTGATTGGCTGATTGCTCAATATATATACATGCTCAAAACAAACAAAATTCAATTTATTGAGCTCTACGTTCCTACCAACAGAATGATAAATAACGTGAAATATCTGATTTCAGGTGTCTGAAACTGTGGGACATAATCACCAACAAGAAGATTAAGCCTGACACATGCTTATGCATCCAGAATAAGCAAACAACAAAACGGGAAAGTGCCAAAGAGGGCAAAACCTGCTTCTGACAGTGATAACGTTTCCTCGAGCAATCGGCTGAACAAGAATTACAATGATACTCAACAGCAGGACCCTCGGACTTCACTAGTTCATCAGCAATGACAGATTCCGGAAAAAAGCCTGACGACATGGCTGGTACCGTTGTACTCGCCCTTGGAACAATTGGAGGGCAAGACTCAACCGTTTCGAATTTAAATAGCTGTTCCACCAAAGATTCCACTTCTCCAGCTTCGTCCTTATCAGCATCAATAGCAGCGTCAACAGTCACAGCAGCAGAAGGCTCTTGATCAGGGAATGGATGATAGTTTATCAAACCCCAGTAGTCCAGAAACTCCAGGACCTCTTGCCGGGCATCCAATTTCCCAGCCGTAAGCTCAGAGAGATGTTTCAACTCGACTTGTTCACTAGGATTGAGGTGAAACTTGTTCAATATCCAATTACGTATCTCCATATATATTTCTGGGGTTCTACTTTCATATTTCCCATTAAAGAATGAAGGCAACATTCTCTCCTCCAGTGGGTGGATTTTAGTCCAGGAAAACCAACCTATAACACACATAACAATATAACGGCAAGGCATAAATAAAAGATAAGGAACACAGAGCGGTGCAATCCGAACCCAAATTTCTCATTAGTCATTCCCACTTATGTACATTCAATAAAAACACAGTGCACTTGTCTGCTCAGGCATTGCTCCTTAACTAACCTTGCAATCAAAATTGTATGAAGACACTCTAAATAATCGAAATTGCCAAGAAAAATAAGTCGAATTCCTAAAGCCTGTCGATTGATAATGAGGGGAAAACATTTCTTCACGGCACTAACAAAAACCCTAATGAGACCAGAAAACTAAGCTTAACCAGTGAACAATTGGCCACAATGCAAAAGCTAACTTAATACACAAACACTCAAATTGCAAAAGAATGTGAAATGCGCCCGCAAATTAAATAGCTACACATCTCAATTTTTCAGAATCTACTCACTCACCCGCATGAAGAGGCACCACATGAACATTCGCATCTCTCGACTTAATGGCTTCGTACTCAGCCTCAATCTTCGCCTCCAGCGCCTCCCAATTCTCGGCCGCCCTAATCATCTCCTCCGCCTTCGCCGCCGCCTCGCGCGCCTCAGCCTCTCTCTTCACCGGCGCCACGTCAGCCACGCTGCTGCTGTTGTAGGGCTGCAGGCGCGCCCGAGTGAGGGGTCCATTCATGTGGATCGGGGGGAAAGGAACCGGCGGAGGCTTCTCCCTAGCCTGTCGCTTCGATGACGACGCCTGAGGATTCGAGCCACCGCCTCCACCGCTGTTCAACGAGGTAGATTTCCGCTTCTGCGCCCCGCCCCTCCGACGGGACGTCGGCTGTTCAGAGGGCGTCGCCTCCGCCGCATTTGCGGGCGGCGGCGGTGTTCCGGCGAGATCTCTTCGCTTCTCCTCCATTTTCTGGTGAGCTCCTCCTCTCAGTCAGACTCTGTGAACGCACACGCATCTGGTTTCGTGTATCTGTACAGCAGTATTATTCCTCTGCGGCGCCGGCGTAGCGTGTCCGCATGAACTGTTTCTCACCGTCGTCGATTAATCTGCCAAGAAAAATAATATCAACGGTTCTGATTGGAAGTTTTGATTTCTGAACAAATGAAATCAAATGTGTGTGAAGTCGCTAGCTACTCTCTACCGCTTTTCAGGTGTAATAAAGTAACTAAAGTCGCCAATGACTAAATAGAAAAGTATATGATGGTTACCTTGTTACACATGTAAAAAAGTAAATTCTAATATTTTAAATAAATAAGTTCAAAGTTGTTCACTGATAAACAAGCTCAATCAACACTTGTTATAAAAGTACATATCTTAATTAGACTAACAGACTTAACAAGTTCGGCTCGTTTATCAAACAAGTCAAGTCAAGTTCAAACATTTACAACTGAGTTCATCAGCTACACTTGTCATTTAACAACTCTAATTATCATTAAAGATAAACAATTACTCTTTCCAGATTATAAAAAGTATTTTCTTAATTAAAACTAGTAATCCATCATCTGCACATTCACATATTGCACACATAAATAGCATAAACTTTGTATATAAAAAGTTATTTAATAATATGTATCACAATAATATTGAATTGTTACATTAACTAATTAAGTTATTTAATAATTATACACCTTAGCTTAGTTAGATTTTAATTTTTTTTTTTTTAAAAAAAAAAGTATAATTGTGGAATTTGTCATATATTAATGACAATTGTTGTATGAAAAAAATGGATAATATAATTTTTTATATACTTTGAGTACTATATTAACAAAACCACAACAGTGTAAATCTTATATACCATATAAATTAATCTTTTTAAGAGAATTATCGAATAAATTATATCAATAATACAATTATATAATAAAGTACATGTACACTATGGATTATTTCATCTAATGTTTATCCAGGTATAAATTAAAGTCCAAAATTTCCAATTAATTTACTACGAAAAGAAGAGATATGTAGTAGTAATATTTAACGGTTACATCAAAATAGAATATTGCTTTTTATTTACTGTAATAACAAAAGCACAATTAAAACATTTTTTGAAACATGCAACTTTTACTGAATATTATGATACTTATTACAAAATTAAGGATGTTGAAACAAATTGAAAATAAATTCAAACTTACTAAAAATGATGAAAATTATATGCCAAAAGGAAAAAAAATTATCATTAATTCTTTACCTATATATATCTCCCTTATACATATATAGAAAAATATGTGGCCTTAATACGCTGACACTTGGCATGTTGTGCAATTACTAAAAAGTTCATCAAAAAAAAGTATTCATTTTTTTGCAGTTTTTACTACCAAAATTTTGACCAAGAGACCACGCCGCATTTAAGGATTTTGCTCCCCGAAAATCTGTTTTGTCGTACCTGCGAATGGACTTTCATGCTTGCGTGGTGGATGGTATTTCGGGATTAGCGGGATGTTCCGGTCAAATTGTCGGTGTGGTATTGGAAAATCCAAGCTCAAACCAAAACGTACCCCCTAGTGAGGACCGTCATTACTCTTTCATCTTCCTCATTGGATCTATTTTGTCCACTAAATTCCTGAACCTCCGACACTCAGATCGTGGGCGATATGAGTCATCCAGTTGAGTCGGCTGATTCATAAGTTTTCTCTTCTCATATCTCAGTCATTTCACGTTAATGGATCACAATTCTTTTTTTGCTCTTTTTTCTTTCTCGCTCTTTCTCTTTTGTTGTCTATGTTATTTGGTCAAAGTGATCGGCTCCGGCAATTTGAATCATTTGCTTTCTCTGAACAAGAAAAGTGGGAAGAAGGACTTCTCAACTGCAATTTTGGAGAGGAAGAAAGCGGCTAATCATCTTGTTTTACCAGTAAAATTTCCATCACATAGAACAACATGACCCACATATTAATCTCAGTCCAAGTGAGCAAACAAGGCTCAAGACCACAAAAATTGCTCTTTAACTACAACAATTATTGTACACAAACAAACAATTTGCTAGTTATTCTTTCGAAGATCCTTTATCCTCGTCCCAAACAAACAATTTGCTAATTATTCTTTCGAAGATCTTTTCTCCTCGTCGATTCTATTTCCTTGTCATCACATATCATATGTCCCACCGTATCGCTTCTCACATAATACACATCATTCACCTCTCTGATCACTACTTATCCACCCTTAATTTCATAATTAAGCAACATTGGCGATCGCTCGTCAACAATTAGGTCAACTCGGTTCTTGTTTACACACCCTTAATTTCATAATTAAGCAACATTGGCGATCGCTCTGTTTACACGCTCAATCTAATCCAAATTTTGTTTCAACATAAAATTTAAATATAAAAAACATGTGTATGTTTTTTTGTTTTTGTTTTTTGTTTTTCTCAAAACATGGAAAACACGACTAGCATGTCAGAATCGTCCGCGTAGGCAATGTAATAAATCAGGTCCCATGCAACTGGTCGATACTCGATAATTCATTTCCAACTTTCATCTACATAATATATGTTGTTTTTTACCCTTGTGAAGTAGTTGATATTTCATGCTAATTATTCATCTATTTATCCTTGAAAACACTAAATTCATACGAATATATACAGATAGTAAATCAGTACTTACAAATAATAATAATAATAATAATAATAATAATAATAATAATAATAATAATAATAATAATAATAATAATAATAATAATAGTAATAATAATACTTTTATTTTAACTATCTAATTTTACCAAACATTTTTATCATACAAGTTAATTTTTCAGCTACATATAAGTTCAAAAAATACTGATAACTAGTAATGCTAAGGAGCCAACTGTTGGCTCCGTTACGGAGCCAACAACCAATGAGACAGCTCCATGTGGAGTTGTCCCACATTGGAGCCATATGGGACAATCCCACATGAAGCTGTCTCATTGTTCGCTCCTTATCATTATTAATATCCGTGAAAGACAATTTTGATAACGTTATCAGTTTGTGACTCTTCATTTCTCCACTTTATATATTATACAAATAAAATATTTCTAGCTATCAATTAACAATTTCAACTTGACACTATTATTGCCAGACATATTTCAGTGTAGGGACACCACATCCCATAATAATAGACCTTGCTATTCATCATCTCTTACATCACCAAGATAAACTAAATTAATTAGCCATCCTTACGATTTTTTTCAATAAATTCATTATTATCTTCATTTCTTGCACTCTTACACCTATTACACACACACACACACACAGAGAGAGAGAGAGAGAGAGAGAGAGAGAGAGAGACCCAATGGATGTAAAGCTTGCAGTTTGTTCTATCCTGCTACTGACACTACAGGTAATTCCTTTTCTCTCAAAATAACTACCCCCAACACAAACTCTTAGATAGGCCTGTGAACGTGCCGAGCCGAACTCGAGCTTAGAGTACTCAAGCTCGAGTCCTTAGCGAGTTGAAATGGAGCTCGAACTTGACTCGTTTACCACTCATAACAAGCTGAGTTCGAGCTTTAACGAGTCGAACTATAGAAAATTATATAAAAATTTCTTTTCGAGCTTATCAAGTTGAGCAACGAGCTTTAATGAGCTCGAGCTCGGCTTGTTTATCAAATGAATTGAGCAGAACTCGTGCCTTAACGAGCCGAGCCGAGGCGGAGCCGTTTAATTTAACAACACTACTCCTAGCCAAGATATTCTAACACAATTCCAAACACAAAAAGCATTAAAAATTAAAAAACATGCTTATAATGGATCCCTTTTGTACCAATCGTGGCCTAATTTTGCAGGTATTATCACGTAACACAAACGGCTCCTCGAACGAAATCTCAAACAAACCCATGATGCGCATCGAGCAAGTAGTCGATTCACATTCATCCTCCCATCACCATCACCACCACATGGATCCATCAACCATAGTCTTCTTCTTCCTCGAGGACCTCACGCAAGGCAACACGATGCCTATCTACTTCCCGAATCGAGAATTATCCGAAGCAACTCATCATTTACTTTCGAAAACCGAGGCCGATTCAATTCCTTTCTCGTCCGAAAAATTTCATTACCTACTCGAATACTTCTCTCTCCCCGAAAACTCCCCACAAGCCGTGGCCATTGAGGACACGTTAAGGGAATGCGAGACGAGCCCCATCGAAGGCGAGACGAAATTATGCGTGACTTCATTCGAATCCATGCTCGATTTTGCGAAATCAATGATTGGCTCGGGAGTTGAGATTCGAATTTTATCCACAAATCATGTCAAACGTTCGGATAAAAGCGTTCTTCTGCAGAAGTACACAATAAGGGAGATACAGGCGATTAATGCCCCGAAAATGGTGGCGTGTCATACTATGCCTTACCCTTACGCCGTTTTTTACTGCCATTACCAAGAGACTGAAAACAGAATTTACCGGGTTTCGCTTCAAGGGGAGAATGGAGATGAGGTAAATGCAGTTGCAGTATGCCACATGGACACTTCCCATTGGAGCCGTAATCACGTGTCGTTTAAAGTGCTCGGGGCCGAGCCCGGTTCGTCGCCCATTTGCCATTTCTTTCCGGCGGATAACTTCGTTTTGGTTCCCTCGATTAGTTTAAAGGAGTAAACATGTGTGGGATAATAAATCTGCAGTAAAAAAAATATCCATGTATGGATAAATAAATAGGCGTGTAATTGTGTATTTATATTTATCTGTAATGCAATTAAAACTTCAGTACTACTACACCAAAGCACAAGACACGAACTATTTTTCGAGATTTCCGAATCTGCTATGCATCAATCGAACGTATTTTTCCTGCTCGTTTTTGTCATGTAGTTACCTATATATATTATCCGGCAATCACAAATTTCAGATTTTCAGAATTAGATGAATAAATGTCGGGAAACTGATTGGGATCAACCAAGTTGAGGCGGAATGCATTTTTAGTCATGTTGGTTTGACGATATTGTAATTTTTGTCCCAAAATTCTAACATTTCGCCTTTTGGCCGTGATATTTAATATTTTTGCTGCAATTTCAATCATCGACTGAAATCGTAACAAATTCCCAAATTTTGGTTAGCAATTTAAGTCCTATAATTTAAAATTTTGTTGCATCACATGACCAAAAAGCGAAGTTGGAACCTTAGGACTAAAATTGCTATGACATTAAATCAAACGGGGAAAAAATGCATTTTTGCCACCAAGTGAATCAGAATGGAAAGATGTGATGAGCTGATAGAAGTATTTCTCTAAAGAAGATGGCATACTGTTTTTATTTCTGTATACAATATGATTAGAATATCATGCTAAAAAATACAATATGATCATACTAAAACAGGTTCAGCTTTTCAGCTTGAGACCAGTGAAAAATCCTGTTGGTTCACCAATTTGAAGGCGCCTACACTTAGATTAGTCTCGGAGATAAATATATCCGGTTGGTTCACCAATTTGAAGGCCTCTCGGAGATAAATATATCGTTATTGACACTTCAAAAAGAAAATGATAAAATTAGCTTGTTTCAATTATTAAATGCAATTCATATCAATAGCATTGATAAAATTCCTCGGACATTTGAGAACATTCAAAACGGAGGCCCATAAACTTCATGTCACAGACCACAAATCTAGCTGATCAAGTGAATATGATTGTATTCACCACAAATTACATACAGTTCATAGCATTACGTTGCCACAAGACAAACTACAAGCATTTTTTTAACCGTCAATATAATCATACCTTCCTCGAATTCAGCAGCTCAACTGTATCCCTTTGACTCGTTTTTCTTTTCGCATGATAAATGGTTTGCCCCTTGCAACAGATGAAAAGAAAACAAAGCAAGCATATAAGCTTTATTATTAATACACTTAACGAAATTTCCAGTAACGTATTTGCTTATTTTGTGTCGACAATAGGGAAGGAGCAGGAGCAATAGTCAATCATATATTCACAATCATATACAAAACAGTAGATGAACAACAAGTCACAGGAATGAAGTACTTCCCCGAAAATTTTATATTATATATACATATAACGAAACAAATATTTGATAATTTCGGATCGAATATGTGCATATTCTGTTTCGGATTGTTGGAATATCACTTGTTGTCCCACATTAATTCTATAGGGTAAATGAGTCTAGTGGGCTACTCCTCCCATCACCAATTGGTTTTGGGATGGAACCTCACCAAGGTGCATCTAGGCTCACCCTCTTATTGGTGCTCTTCACCTGGTGGGACCGCACCCTCTTCCCCCAGTTCTAATAGATTCGAATGAATTTCGATTACTAAACATTGTTCTTATTCGAATTCAAACTAGAATTTTCAAAAATACAAATCACGAATACCCGAATTCGAACCAAGAATTGAATCGAGAATATTTGATTTGCTTACGGCCCTGCTCGGGCATCGACCCAGCCATTTCTTTGTTAGCATTTAAAATTTTTGGGGGATCACAAATTCAATTTGCTTCACAAAACAAAGATACTAATGGCACTTATCTTGCGTTTTACCAACCAAATTCTCATATAACACGAAATAATGAGCGAGAAACAACGAGAATAAGAATAACCTAAGCTCCTCAACTCAGCAAGAACACATTTGTTCAACCAAATACATGGAGATGGAGGATAAATTACGTATTAAAAAAATAATAAATAGATAAAATAAAATAAACAACGCCCCACAAATACCTGGGTGTGGGTGAACATTTTTACGGCGGCGGTGTGATCCTGGAATAAAAAACAAGAAATTTGAGTGTGAACTTATACTTAGCGAGCGAGCTCGAGCTCAGTTAACAAGACGAGCAAAGGTGAAAATTTGAGAAAAACTAGATTGGAATAGATTTTTTTTTTGTTATTTATTTATTTATTTATTTATTTATTTTTGGGGTGAATTGATATTCGAGATGATTTGATTAATATTAAACAATAAAAAAATAGTATAAATAATGAGTGTAAATAATTAATTCTAAATACATGAGTCGATGAATATTGAATTTTATTATTTAATTATTAGTGCTAGTTTATTGCTTTCTTTTTTTTTAATATATTTATGTTCATTTTTTTTTTTATATTCGATCCAACCCATAAA